TTGAAAGGGGATTTTTCTTGATATCAAAATAGCCACCCCTCTTCTGTGACCCGTTTTATATGAAGCAGCATATACCTGAGAATATCCATTTCTCTTTAGCTTTTCATGTTCTTTTTCTGTAAGATGGGTTTCCTGTAAAAAGGCAATTCCCACTCCTTCCTTCTTTAACTTACTTAAAATTTTACTTCTTTTACATGGGCTTAAAACACCATTCACATTATACGAGTAGATCTTAATGAAGTTGTTTTGCATTCAGACAATGAGAGTTTGAGATTACTATAATAATTCCCCCTGCTACTAGAAGAACAAACAATGATATCGAACTTAATCATACAAACAATAACAAATAAAAGAAACTCGGCTTCCGCACCTGAGGTCGTTTCGTTGACCCTAATTGAGTCCAACTGTGACTCGGGGGAAAAACCTCTGACTCTAAACCACCAGAGGGCCCCCTCGGTACTAAAGTACACACACATGTCTCTTAATGGCAGTCTCGAGAGAAAAAACAGTTCCGACATGTTTTATAATCAATTGGAGAATTGAAATGAGTCTTTTTACTAGTAGTTCTTTCTCACCTTCCTGAGTTTACGTCACTCCATAACTGATCTTCTGTAAACGTTGAGCTTTTGCATGTATCCAGGTCGCGCGTCCGCCTGACGTCCTCTTCCCTCAGCCCGACTCCAGATGCGACTCATCTTCTCAAACCTGTCCTCTTCTGGTGGCACCACCGAGACCTGGTATCCTCTTGTGGCCATATCCTTAGTCGCCTCCGCTGCTGTGTTGTACATTTGCGTCTCCCCATCATAAAAGACACGAAGTTTTGCTGGGAATGGCGTCTGGAAGCGTATTTTACGTTCCCTAAGCACTCTCTTTGCCTCCGTATATAGCTTCCGCTGTTTCAAAATCTCCGGTGCATAATCGTGGTCAATTATTATCTTCCTTCCCTCATACATGAAGCCCTTTTTCTGCCACGCTGCCGTTATAATGGCTTCCTTGGTTCTGTAACTTTGCAGCTTTACCACTATTGATCTTGGCGGGGCCTCATTCGGTGGTCGAGCGGCTAAGGCTCGGTGGGCTCTTTCGACAATGAGGTCAAGTGAGGGTGCCAGGTCCAACTTCTCTTTCAGCAGGGTCACAATAAAGTCAATCATTGACTGAGACCCTTCTTCAGCACCTTCTTTTACCCCGTGAATCCTGATATTGTCTCTTCTGGAGCGGCTTTCTTGGTCCGTCAGTCTGGACAAGGTTTGCTTTTGCAGCTCCAGTAGCTCAAGAGTAGCATCTTCAATCATCTGGATGCGCCCCTCCGACTCCATAATGCGCCTTTCTGCCTCTTCAACTCGGATGTTCGTGTTTTTAATGTCCTCTTTTAGCTCCTTGAAAGATTCTGCATTCTCTCTTCGAAAATCCTTAATTTCCTGAAGTACAGTTTGGAGATCAGCCATCGTTTCCAGCGGCTGCTCCCCTGTTAGCTTACTCGCGGCTAATGCAGCTGCTAGCCCAGGTTCCGCAGGGCACGTTGTAGCCGTTAGCTTAGGTCGCTCTTCTGCTTCCTCGACGTGCTTTCCAATGTTGGTTTTTGTTTGTCTTGATCTCCCTTTTGTCATAATAACCCCCCTTCACTACTGCTTGGCCTTGGTTAAAGTAAAATCGGAAAAAATACAACTTTCAGGGGGGTCTTCTATTTTTTGTCGGAGAGCTGATTCTCTATGCTGCCGCCATGACACACGCCCAACCCGGAAGTCCCTTTTTCTCTTTTTTAACCGACAGCTTTGACCGGTTAACGCTGTGACGGTCAACCACCGGATAAACGGTCACCGATTTACATCCCTAGTACCAACAACATAGCAATGACATTAATAACAGGACAAAACTGAGCTTTTTTAATATTTATCATATTTTTATTTTATGCTATTGCTAACATTACGCCAGAATGTTCTCAAGGCTAGTTTGTATCTATAGCCCCATTGGACATGTCTTTTTCTGGTTGGGGAAACTGGAAGAAACCTGTGTAGACACAGGGAGAACATGCAAACTCCACTCAGAAAGGCCCTGAGCTGCCAGTGAATCAAAATCTATAAACAATTATAAGCAGGTATATTTTGTGTAATATTTTGCAAAAATTACAGCTAACTATTACGGTAAAATTTATTCTCAATGTGATTCAAAGTCACCTGGACTATGAATCACTCCTGAACAAAATAAATGGAAGCCAGGCCAAACCAGACCAACTTTAGTGGACCGGTCTGAATCTGGACAGATTCAGCTTCAAACAAATTTAAAGAAGAAATATTGTACATACACAAGATGATCAGACTTTGTACATTAATGGTCTCAGCGTGTCATTCAAAAAGCAGAACAAAACCAAGATAAAGTTATTCAAGACTAAAGTGGGCTAATGCTAGTTGTTTTCTCTACATTAAAAGGTTGTGACTCACCGCTGCTGCCACAGTCTGCGCAGGACAACAACTCCTCCGGCCGCTTGTCCCGGTTCGACTCCTTTGTCCCGAGGCAGAAGCTGCAGATGGGAATGGGATCCACACGCATCTGAGGGACAAACAAAGTCAGATTCAACATTAAGAGCCTATAGTTTAACGATGTGGTGAAGGGCAGCAAATCTCTCCTGATAACTATGGTAAAAGTCAGACTTCTGGCCTTTAGTTTAGGGATCATTTCATGTTCAATCAACATGAACTAAACTATTGCAAAGTTTCACATATTTGTCAGCATTCATTAATATATTATTTTCTCATAAAGGTGTCTGGAAGTGGTGACAAAAGATAAATAACAATAGAAAGGGCTTTCAGAGATAAGAATAATAACTATTTGTATCTTCAGTTTTTATTTTTTCGTTTGTATATTTTTTCGTATATTTCTGTATTTGTTATAGATGAGAGGAACCAGAGAGACCGGACTATGTATTGTGCTTGGCCTATTCGAGCAGAACAAAACAAGTTATTTAAAACCATGTGAGCAAAGTGAAAGTATTTAGTTCCTTTGTTCCACAGAGTCGTGTTTGTGAATCTCTAAAACCATGAATCAGATTCAAAAACTAACTTTTCTTCTCTTCACAGAACGAGGCCTCCGCCCATGATCTCCAGCCGCTGAGGACGAGCAGAGGAAGAAGAATTAGAAAAGAGTATTTATCCATCTGCAATATATAAGAGAGACCAGAGAGAGACCAGAGAGAGACCTGAGAGAGACCAGAGAGAGAGACCAGAGAGAGACCAGAGAGAGAGACCAGAGAGAGAGAGAGAGAGACCAGAGAGAGACCAGAGAGAGACCAGAGAGAGAGACCAGAGAGAGACCAGAGAGAGAGACCAGAGAGAGACCGGAGAGAGACCTGAGAGAGAGACCAGAGAGAGAGACCAGAGAGAGACCAGAGAGAGAGACCAGAGAGAGACCAGAGAGAGAGACCAGAGAGAGACCAGAGAGAGACCAGAGAGAGACCAGAGAGAGACCAGAGAGAGACCAGAGAGAGACCAGAGAGAGACCAGAGAGAGACCAGAGAGTGATCAGAGAGAGACCAGAGAGAGACCAGAGATAGAGACCTGAGAGAGAGACCTGAGAGAGACCAGAGAGAGACCAGAGAGAGACCAGAGAGAGACCAGAGAGAGACCAGAGAGAGACCTGAGAGAGAGACCAGAGAGAGAGACCAGAGAGAGACCAGAGAGAGAGACCAGAGAGAGACCAGAGAGAGACCAGAGAGAGACCTGAGAGAGAGACCAGAGAGAGACCAGAGAGAGACCAGAGAGACCAGAGAGAGACCAGAGAGAGAGACCAGAGAGAGACCAGAGAGAGACCAGAGAGAGACCAGAGAGAGACCTGAGAGAGAGACCAGAGAGAGAGACCAGAGAGAGACCAGAGATAGAGACCTGAGAGAGAGACCAGAGAGAGACCAGAGAGAGAGACCAGAGAGAGAGACCAGAGAGAGAGACCAGAGAGAGAGACCAGAGAGAGACCAGAGAGAGAGACCAGAGAGAGACCAGAGAGAGAGACCAGAGAGAGACCAGAGAGAGACCAGAGAGAGACCAGAGAGAGACCAGAGAGAGAGACCAGAGAGAGAGACCAGAGAGAGACCAGAGAGAGAGACCAGAGAGAGACCAGAGAGAGAGACCAGAGAGAGAGACCAGAGAGAGAGACCAGAGAGAGACCAGAGAGAGACCAGAGAGAGACCAGAGAGAGACAAGAGAGAGAGACCAGAGAGAGACCAGAGAGAGAGACCAGAGAGAGACCAGAGAGAGAGACCAGAGAGAGAGACCAGAGAGAGAGACTAGAGAGAGAGACCAGAGAGAGAGACCAGAGAGAGAGACCAGAGAGAGAGACCAGAGAGAGAGACCAGAGAGAGACCAGAGGGAGAGACCAGAGAGAGAGACCAGAGAGAGAGACCAGAGAGAGACCAGAGAGAGACCAGAGAGAGACCAGAGAGAGACAAGAGAGAGAGACCAGAGAGAGACCAGAGAGAGAGACCAGAGAGAGACCAGAGAGAGAGACCAGAGAGAGAGACCAGAGGGAGAGACCAGAGGGAGAGGCCAGAGAGAGAGACCAGAGAGAGAGACCAGAGAGAGAGACCAGAGAGAGAGACCAGAGAGAGACCAGAGAGAGAGACCAGAGGGAGAGACCAGACCAGAGAGAGAGATCAGCCTCACTCAGCCAATCAGCTCTCAGCCCGAAGAGTCAAATAATGACTCTTAATCTTTCTAAAAAATTCAAAACTGTTTTAGGGGCAAACCTCTTGGAGAGACCAGGGGCAGACATCTTGGAGAGACCAGGGGCAGACATCTTGGAGAGACCAGGGGCAGACATCTTGGAGTGACCAGGGCAGACATCTTAGAATCCTTCTTGACGTAGAGTCACTTTAAATTTCCATTGTGTGACTTGGCCGTCAGCCAAACCTTCCACATGCCAAAAAGTGAAAGCACAGGGCGTTGCCAAACAAATACCAAAACACGATTGATTCTTATCTTCCCAAAAGCACAGGTCTCAGCTGAACACACAACATGAGCCGTGAGTAGAGCTTTTAAATTAATATTTTATTCCTTAAGACCGTTGGAAAAAAAGTCAATAATCTCATAGGTCATCAACACCTACATTATTTAATATGATTTAAATGTATGTTTTATGAGTTAAGAGATACTCCAGCCTCCGCCTTCTGCTGTTATCTGCTGTCTCTATGGATTGTGTGTCTGTGTGAGTGTGTGTGTTATCTGCTGTCTCTATGGATTGTGTGTCTGTGTGAGTGTGTGTGTTATCTGCTGTCTCTATGGATTGTGTGTCTGTGTGAGTGTGTGTGTTATCTGCTGTCTCTATGGATTGTGTGTCTGTGTGAGTGTGTGTGTTATCTGCTGTCTCTATGGATTGTGTGTCTGTGTGTGTGTCTAAGATGCATTAAAACGGACATGATTGGAGTGTTGAAGTGTTGGTACTACTGCAGCTTCTCCTCGTGTGTCTTGAGACACACACACTCTACACAAACACACACACTCTACACACACACACACACACTCTACACAAACACACAGTGAGTAACAATACAAGTTAAAACATTACAATAGAAGACACACAAAGAAATGTAAACTTTTTTTTTTTTTGCTGGAGCGTTAAAACAAAGACTTCAGGACAAAGTCAGCCATCAGGGGATGTTTAGGAAAAGCTTTAAGAGCCACTGGTTGTTTTCCACAGAGGCCGCAGACTCGACTCGCATCGTGGTGGTGGGGAAGACCGGAGTGGGCAAGAGCAGCACGGCCAACACCGTCCTCGGGAAGAAAGTGTTCCGTGTGTTTGCATCCCCCAAGTCTGGGACTGCGCAGTGTGAGGCCCATGTCCAGGAGGTACACACAAACACACACACACACATAGATACTTAAGGCAAGGCAAGTTTATTTGTATAGCACAAACATACACAAGGCAACTCAAAGTGCTGAACAAAATAAGAAAGCATTAAAATCATAAATAATCACAGAACATTAAAAAGAAAGATACAAATATTAAATCCCTCAGTTGTAGCACAGCTAAACAGAACTGTCTTTAACCTGGTTTTAAACATTGTCAGAGAGGAGGCCTGTCTCACATCTTCAGGAAGACTGTTCCAGATTTTAGCAGCATGAATCTGAAAAGCAGCCTCCCCATGTTTAGTTCTGACTCTGGGCACTAACAGGAGTCCAGTCCCTGTGCTCCTCAGAGTCCCAGCAGGAGTCCAGTCCCTGTGCTCCTCAGAGTCCCAGCAGGAGGCCAGTCGCTGTGCTCCTCAGAGTCCCAGCAGGAGTCCAGTCCCTGTGCTCCTCAGAGTCCCAGCAGGAGTCCAGTCCCTGTGCTCCTCAGAGTCCCAGCAGGAGGCCAGTCCCTGTGCTCCTCAGAGTCCCAGCAGGAGGCCAGTCCCTGTGCTCCTCAGAGTCCCAGCAGGAGTCCAGTCCCTGTGCTCCTCAGAGTCCCAGCAGGAGGCCAGTCCCTGTGCTCCTCAGAGTCCCAGCAGGAGGCCAGTCCCTGTGCTCCTCTGAGTCCCAGCAGGAGGCCAGTCCCTGTGCTCCTCAGAGTCCCAGCAGGAGACAAACGCATGGATAAGAATCTCCAAGTCTGCTTTAGACACTATGTTTTTGATCCTGGCAATGTTTTTTAGATGGTAAAAAGCTGCTGATGTTACTGATTTGATGTGGCTATTAAAATGTAAGTCTGAGTCCAGTATTACCCCTAGATTTCTGACCTTGTTTGAAGGTTTTAGGGAGAGAGACTGGAGGTGACAGATGACGCTCTCTCTTTGTTTCTGGGGACCAAAGACAATCATTTCAGTTTTGTCTGCGTTTAGCTGAAGGAAGTTGTTTTGCATCCACTCACTGATCTGCTGGATACAGTGAAGGAGTGAGTCCACTGGTCCATGTTCTCCTGCAGTCAGTGAGACATAGATCTGAGTGTCGTCTGCATAGTTATGATAGGACACTTTGTTTCTGCGTATTAACGGCGGATCCTTTACGGGCGTTGGCTGCTGCCCGTCAGACGTGCGTAAAACGGAATAGTGGCCAAACCGGCTGCAGCAGCTCTGGCTGTGCGTTTATCAGCCCCGTGAGGCTTTGTTTTAAATAGAAGAAGCAGTGTGTGATGTGCATGAGCTGTGGCTGTGATCCATGCAAAGCACGGCATATTGAAGCATTGAGGACGTTGCGATGGATGAGGAAAAACTTTTTGAAAGCAAATGGAAAAAGGGGAGAGAGAAAAGAACTCACACATCTCCAAGCTTCTTTGAAAGCCAGTCAATATTAACATTACGCAAAAAATAAACGGTAGATTTACGATCAGGAAACAAATATCTCCTTACATGTTTAATAATGTGGTAAATATATTATTCCATTGTATTTTCAATGGAAACGGACCCGACACGCGCCGACGGACGGAACAAATAGGATTGTTTCTATTTGGTCCGTCCGTGTCCGTTGCACCCTGTGTGGACGGACTGCTCCCTATGTCATACGGACGCATGTCGCGGGCAGTGGAGCCACTTCCATTCACCCTCATGGAGAGAACGGAGACGGAGATGAAACGGACACGTTTGGACGGATACGTCGTCCGTTTTACGCAGCCGGTGGAGTCGGGGCCTTACAGTCATGTCCCTCTGCAGGTGCTGGGGCGGCAGGTGAAGTGGATCGACACCCCCGGCCTGTTCGACACAGACCGTCCTGAGAAGGAGATGAAGCAGGAGATACTGAAGTGCATCACTGAGTGCCACCCGGGGCCCCACGTGTTCCTCATCCTGCTGCCTGTGGGTCGATACACGGCCCACGAGGAGCAGATGGTGAACATGCTCAGGACCTACTTCTCTCAGAACATGCTGCGCTTCTCCATCCTGCTCTTCACCCACGGAGACGACCTGGACGACGGGCAGAGCATCCAGGAGTTTGTGTCCGAGAGCCCGAGTCTGAAGGTCAGGGCCCGGAGCTCGACACACGCCTGTCAGACTAGCTTGGGATTAGTTATTACTCTTTATTATTACATTTTATATATTCTATTTATCTATTAGAAAACTGCATTCACTGTTTAGTTTCATCGTACTATGGAGGGGCCCTCTGCACTGGGAGCAGTGGTCGACTGCAGCTGTGGGGGTCCGGCTCCTGGACCTGGGGGAGGTCTGGGGCCTCCTCTCTCCTCTGGGTCCTGTGGTGGTCTGGGGCCTCCTCTCTCCTCTGGGTCCTGTGGTGGCTCTCTGCTCCTGGTGCAGACTCCTGGTCACACCCAGCTTTAGATCTTATCTTGGTTCTACCCATTTTACTGATTGGATATGACTATATTTATGTGTGTGTGTCTATGTGTGTCTGGTTGGTTGGTGGTTGGTTGGTTGGTTGGTTGGGGGTTGGTTGGTTGGATGGTTGGTGGTTGGTTGGTTGGTTGGTTGGATGGTTGGATGGTTGGGTGGTTGGTTGGTTGGTTGTTGGTTGGTTGGTTGTTGGTTGGTTGGTTGATTGGTTGGATGGATGTTGGTTGGTTGGGGGTTGGTTGATTGGTTGGTTGGATGGTTGGTGGTTGGTTGGATGGTTGGTTGGTTGCAGGAGCTGCTGCAGAGCTGTGGGAACCGTGTGCACGTGGTCGACAACAAGCGCTGGGGCGGCGAGCTCGACGGTTACCGAAGCAACCGCCACCAAGTGCGAGCGCTGTTCCAGACCGTGGAGCAGATGATGAGCGCTAACACGGGACACTACACCAACAGCCTGTTCCAGCAGCCCCTGGAGGATCTCCTGTTGAAGGCCTACAGCTACACGGCCGGCGCTCTGCTCCTAGCCTTCTTCGGACGCGCCCTCCTGAGCTAACTGTGGAGCCGCTTCAGAGCAGGGAGCGGGGCTAGTGAGCAGTGGGTGGAACTAAAGAGCAGTGGGTGGGGCTAGAGAGCAGTGGGTGGGGCTAGAGAAAAGGGGGCGGTGCTGAAGAGCAGTGGGTGCAGCTAGTTAGCAGTGGAGAAAAGGGGGCGGTGCTGGAGAGCAATGGGTGGAGCTAAAGATCAATGGGTGGAGCAAAAGAAAAGGGTGGTTTCTCTCTGGTCTCTCTGTCTTGTCTCTCTCTCTGGTCTCTCTCTCTGGTCTCTCTCTCTGGTCTCTGTCTGGTCTCTCTCTCTGGTCTCTCTCTGGTCTCTCTGGTCTCTCTCTGGTCTCTCTCTGGTCTCTCTCTAGTCTCTCTCTAGTCTCTCTGGTCTCTCTCTCTGGTCTCTCTCTCTGGTCTCTCTCT